TTATCCTATGTGTGCAGTCTGCATGAGTTCCTCTCTCTCTCTCTCTCTCTCTCTCTCTCTCTCTCTCTCTCTCTCTCTCTCTCTCTCTCTCTCTCTCTCTCTCTCTCTCTCTCTCTCTCTCTCTCTCTCTCTCTCTCTCTCTCTCTCTCTCTCTCTCCCTCTCCCTCTCTCTCTTCCCTCTCTCTCTCTCTCTCTCTCTCTCTCTCTCTCTCTCTCTCTCTCTCTCTCTCTCTCTCTCTCTCTCTCTCTCTCTCTCTCCTCTCTCTCTCTCTCTCTCTCCCTCTCTCTCTCTCTCTCTCTCTCTCTCTCTCTCTCTCTCTCTCTCTCTCTCTCTCTCTCTCTCTCTCTCTCTCTCTCTCTCTCTCTCTCTCTCTCTCTCTCTCTCTCTCTCTCTCTCTCTCTCTCTCTTAACCAATCCGGACTGGCCAGCATAGACGAACGCGGCTAATCCATACAACGATCCATGGGCTCAATAACTTTATATATACGTATCTACATAACACATTCAACACTTGCTAGGACTCACATTACCTCGCTTCCTGCTTCAACACCTGTCAAGTACAGTTTCAACACCTGCCAAAAACAGCCTGAAGACCTGCCAGGAATAGCTTCACTTTTAACGAGCTGTGTATTAAAAATAGGCTTGTTTTCATTTATATATTAATATCATCATATATAATGTTCTATATTAATTAGAGGTAGGATAGGTTACGTTACGTTAGGTTAGGTTAGGTTAGGTTAGGTTAGGTTAGGTTAGGTTAGGTTAGGTTAGGTTAGGTTAGGTTACGTTAGGTTAGGTTACGTTAGGTTAGGTTAGGTTAGGTTAGGTTAGGTTACGTTAGGTTAGGTTAGGTTAGGTTAGGTTAGGTTAGGTTAGGTTAGGTTACGTTACGTTAGGTTAGGTTACGTTAGGATAGGTGTTTAAGTTCTGTTGGCGATTCAACCCATCCTCGACTCAAGTCCATTACATCCAGCGGTCGACCCAACACACGCATTCATAAATTTTAACATGCTGTTCATTCAAAACAGTAATTTTCTCAACTATAAATTAATATTATAATATATTTGCATATTGTTCATGTATAGGCATAGGTTGGGTCAGGTGTTTAGGTTCTGTTGGCGATTATTTGTATTTGTAGTACGTGGGTGAAGCATTTATAGCGTTTATATTCGAACAAAATTCGTCAGTGAAGCACTTGTTCCGGAACTGCTCGAACGAAATCAGCTGTGAGTCGTGTGTAAACCGTTTTTCATTCATAAACAGCTGGGGGTTTGGCGGGTGCATGGAATCTCTTTAGGGTCTTTGTTTGGAGGACGGGCTGGATTTAAAGTATATGGGTGAAGCATCAGCCCGTCCTCCAAACAAAGACCCAAAAGTGATTCCATGCACCCGCCAAACCCCCAGCTGTTTATGAATGAAAAGCGGTTTACACACGACTCACAGCTGATTTCGTTCGAACAGTTCCGGAACAAGTGCTTCACTGACGAATTTTGTTCGAACCACAACACTGTAAATGCTTCACCCACGTAGTACGAATACAAATAATCGCCAACAGAACCTAAACACCTAACCTAACAAACAAACCTAACCCTTTGTCTATATATGCACAATATATTAATATATTATAATATTAATTTATATTGGAGAAAATTCCTGTTTTGAATGAACAGCATGTTAACATTTATGAATGCGTCTGTGGGGTTGACGCTGGATGTAATGGACTTGAGTTGAGGATGGGTTGTGAAGCACTTACAGCTTGCGATTCGAACAGGGGTCGTCATCGAAGCACTGTTCGAAAAATGTTTTAGCGTCATCAGTTGTGAGCCGTGTGTAAACAGTTTTTGATTCACACACAGGAGGTTTGTCAACTGGATTAATTAGCATTTGTCCTTTGTTGATGAAGATTGGCTGTGGTATTTGCAGTACGTGAACGAAGTATTTAGAGCGGTACAATTCATACAGGGGATGTGAACGAAGCACTGCTCGAGAAATAAATACATACATACGCCAACCCGGTCTCACACTAGGCTGGTTAAAGCAGCGGCCGTCCTCCCCAGACGCATTCACCAATTTTTAACATACTGTGTACTAAAAATTAGTTTGTTCTCATATATAAATTAATATTATTATACATAAATATTCTATGTATAGTTAGGCGTTAGTTAGGTTAGGTGTTTAGGTTCTGTTGGCGATTATTTGTATTTGAAGTACTTGGGTGAAGCATTAATAGAACTGTGGTTCGAACAGAGGACGTGAGCGAAGCACTTGTTCCGGAAGTGTTCGGACGTCACCAGTTATGAGTTGTGTGTAAACCGCTTTTCACTTATAAACAAAGAGTTTAGCGGTTTGATTAACGAGCATTTGGCCCTTGTTGTTGAGAACGGTTGATTCCAACATTGCAAATGACTAAAATACTGTTCTATAAAAGTTCAAATTTTTGCATTTGTGGGTTTATATAAAGTGATTCTCCTTGGTAGACAGTTGGATTATCAGCAAGACTAGCGAGCATTTTGTCAATGTTAATGGGAACGGTCTGCACTGGCTGCACTCAGATGTTCTGATATTTGACCTAAAGTTCATTCGAAGATTCTAAGTGACCCGAAGCAGTGAATGAAACGTAGGACGTGAATCCAGCCCGTCTTCTAAACGGGCTGCAAATCCAAAGTCCATTCCATGCACCCGCCAAACCCCCTGTTTATGAATGGAAAACGGTTTACACACAACTGATGACGTCCTGAACACTCCCGGAAGAAGTGCATCGCTGACAACTTTTGTTCGAACCACAACGCTGTAAATGACATGTTAAACATTAAGTACAATCCCTGCTGAGCTCCTGTTCTGGGAGGTTGTGATCAAACCCGAGGAGTTGTGATATGTATATTTGCTGTCGCCTGGTAAGTCTTGCCATCCCGTATTTACAAATGACTCCAAACCACAACAACAACAACAACGTACCTTGATATCCAAGTTAGGCTGTTTATAAAAAGCAGAGAATCTCATCGTGTTTGTTTAAAAATGATTTTTTTATTATTGTTTATGTCTTGTGTGTGTACGTATCTCTATCTGTTTCTAGTATGGGTAGTGAGGGAGTCTTGGCTAGCAATAATGATATCATAAGAGGCCTGGTCGACGACCGGGCCGCGGGGACACTAAGCCCCGGAAGCACCTTAAGGTAATCATTCCCCAGGAGGACGTCGTCACATCTCACCTATCCTAGTATATCCCAAACACTCTTACATCTTTGAGACGTTTTCATACCACCTCTGAGGAAGCTGAGTGGCCGGAAGTGGTGTTCGCAAGTTCACCTGAACCGTGTGTGGGTGACGAGGCGGTCAACCTAAGCTTGAGAAGACGGCCAAACTTAAAAAAAGAGGATTTAGAACAAGCTTCGTGGTTTTGTTTTCTTCTGTGTCTCGTCTCTTTGTTTATAGTTGGTGACTTTTGACAAGTTAAAGGATAGAATGGGTACACTAGGAGGGGTACGGTTGGGTACATTAGGGGTTATGGTTCGATGCAGTAGGGATATGGGTAAGGTACATTAGGGGTGGGTATGGATGGGCACGTTAGCAATGTAAATGGATAAATTAGAGGGGCTATGGGTAGGTATTCCGACTAATGTACTTACATGTTTTGATCTCTCACAACACTGACCACTGACACAATCCCCCCCTCCCCCTCCTCCTTGTATGTAAACGAGTTAAGATATTATCCAGTCCTATTATATAATATATTCTAGATGTAAGACTCCTATTAAAAAGGACAGTCCAGAATCACTTTTCACCCGAGTAGCGACAAGTTGTCCTTTTCACGTAATATTATTATCAACATTTTTTTTTTAAATTTTAATGTATAATTTGTAAATAGTTTGAGGGTAATGTTTGATCTGTTTTATAACAGAACAATGAAATATTTTCTGTTTTATGTAATGCATTTTCCTCCCTTAAAACGTTTACAGTGCTTTTGTGTGTTTTTTATTGTCTTATAAATGTTTTTATAGATAATAATCAATCTTACATTTATTTGTTATTAGTTATATTTATTTTTGTACTTAATCGCACTCTTCCTACTTTGTTCCATTGGAACATATTAATACAATCACAATCTCCTTTTTCTTTCCCTCTATATTTTTCTTCTCTCTTTGTCGCTCTGACGATCAAGGCTGAGGTTGAGCAGTATTTAATGGTCTTATCGCGCTCTTTACTCACAGGGGTCAGGTTGGGCTCTAGCTCTGCAACCCGGGAGACGAAGACACACATATATGGGGTTTGCATAGGAACAGCGGAACAGAACGTGACTGTATATCTCTCCCTCACACTTATGTGTAGTCAAAGATGACTCGTTTGAGGATCTGTATGTTGCCTCTTAGTTGTAGGAGGTATAACTCATGTGAAGGGATGTATGTTGCCTCTTAGTTGTAGGAGGTATAACTCATGTGAAGGGATGTATGTTGCCTCTTAGTTGTAGGAGGTATAACTCACGTGAGGGGATGTATGTTGCCTCTTAGTTGTAGGAGGTATAACTCACGTGAGGGGATGTATGTTGCCTCTTAGTTGTAGGAGGTATAACTCACGTGAGGGGATGTATGTTGCCTGTATGTGGTGGGAGAGATACCTCATGTGAGGGGGGATGTATGTTGCCTGTATGTGGTGGGAGAGATACCTCATGTGAGGGGGATGTATGTTGCCTGTATGTGGTGGGAGAGATACCTCATGTGAGGGGGGATGTATGTTGCCTGTATGTGGTGGGAGAGATACCTCATGTGAGGGGTCTATATGTTGTTGATACTTAACATGCTGACCCTTGGCTTAATTACCCTAGACCTAATTGCCCTTAACATGGTGACCCTTGATCTAATGACCCTTGACCTCATAATTCTTGACCTCATATTCCTTGACCTCATAGTTCTTGACCTCATAATTCTTGACCTCATAATTCTTGACCTCATAATTCTTGACCTCATAATTCTTGACCTCATAATTCTTGACCTCATAATTCTGACCTCATAATCCTTGACCTCATAATTCTTGACCTCATAATTCTTGACCTCATAATTCTTGACCTCATAATTCTTAACCTCATAATCCTTGACCTCATAATTCTTGACCTCATAATTCTTGACCTCATAATTCTTGACCTCATAATTCTTGACCTCATAATTCTTGACCTCATAATTCTTGACCTCATAATTCTTGACCTCATAATTCTTGACCTCATAATTCTTGACCTTATAATTCTTGACCTCATAATTCTTGACCTCATAATTCTTGACCTTATAATTCTTGATATCATAATTCTTGACTTAATGACCCTTGACCTGATGACCCTAAGTGTCCTATACCAATCTGCGAGATAACCCTACATGTTATCTACATGTTTTGTTTACATCCTCAGTAATGTGGAAGCACGGAATGATGGACTAAACAAACAAAAACACATAGGCAAATGAATAAACAAATGCCAGGGCAAACGGCCTAAATAATTTGTTTCCCAAACATTTAAAATAGCAAATAAAAATACAGTTATTGCGTTAATCTTTTGGACTGAAGAGAAAAAGGTATATATATATATTTTGGGGGTAAAAAAATATAATATTATGTTTGACCATTTAAAATGTAAATATGAAGGTGTGTACTAATCAACGCTGTAATAATTAGTTGAATTAATGAGAGAGAGAGAGAGAGAGAGAGAGAGAGGAGAGAGAGAGAGAGAGAGAGAGAGAGAGAGAGAGAGAGAGAGAGAGAGAGACAGAGGAGAGAGAGAGAGAGAGGAGAGCGAGAGAGAGATGAGAGAGAGAGAGAGAGAGAGAGAGAGAGAGAGAGGAGAGAGAGAGAGAGAGAGAGAGAGAGAGAGAGAGAGAGAGAGAGAGAGAGAGAGCTGTCTCATCCGAGGTCTTCACGAGTAAAGACTTACCTTTGCCATAACAACAGATACCAACGCCAGTACTGTTGTCAAAAGTTCAGTCTTCTCGTTCGTCACTTCCCCATGACCGAACCATCAGGTGTGTGTGTGTAGTCACGGTGCTCGCTCCAGATGAGAACACTTATCTTATTGTCTCCTGAGAAAGGGTGTTTATAATTTTTTTCGGGTGTGGGTGAGAAATAAAACTTAATAATTCTAGCATTGTAGCAGGGATGAGGATAATCAGGTTAGCTGGACAGTAGTTCGTTAACAGTACTCACCTAGTTGTGCTTGTGGGACTTGAGCTCCTGTAGGTCTATACGAGCAAGTTCATATGATTCATGAGGCTTCAGATGATTCATGAGCCTTACTTAAGCCATTCTACCAATCGAGGTTGCCTTGGAATATAAGTTTTCAAGAACCCCTTGACAGTCATCCAGGCAAGGTATATATATATATATATATATATATATATATATATATATATATATATATATATATATATATATATATATATATATATATATATATATATATATATATATATATATATATATATATATATATTAGTATATTTTGGTAGCAGTCTTTCCTGAAGACATATATTATTAAATATGACCGAAAAAGTAAGATTAATAATTCTAACACGAATTTTCTCAATCTTTCGTACATTTCGTTTCACTGTTGGAGGTAAATCAAAAATCAATTCTCCAAAATTCATTTTTATTTCTAGTCTGACGCGACACGAGCGCGTTTCGTAAAACTTATTACATTTTCAAAGACTTTAGTTCACAAATACACAACTGAATAGAACTTACGCATCTCAGATTTTATATCTACATTTGAGTGAGGTGGAAGGGGTGATGTGGCATTAACACAAGACAGAACAAGATGTGGTATTAATAGGGTATTAATTTCATCAACACAAGACAGAACAAGAGTATTAATAGGGTATTAATTTCATCAACACAAGACAGAACAAGAGTATAAATAGGGTATTAATTTCATCAACACAAGACAGAACACGAAACAATGGATATCGAATAGAAGTGTTTGTAGAAAGCCTATTGGTCCATATTTCTTGATGCTTCTATATTGGAGCGGAGTCTTGAGGTAGGTAGAATATAGTTGTGCAATAATTGGCTGTTGATTGCTGGTGTTGACTTCTTGATGTGTAGTGCCTCGCAAACGTCAAGCCGCCTGCTATCGCTGTATCTATTGATGATTTCTGTGTTGTTTACTAGGATTTCTCTGGCGATGGTTTGGTTGTGGGAAGAGATTATATGTTCCTTAATGGAGCCCTGTTGCTTATGCATCGTTAAACGCCTAGAAAGAGATGTTGTTGTCTTGCCTATATACTGGGTTTTTTGGAGCTTACAGTCCCCAAGAGGGCATTTGAAGGCATAGACGACGTTAGTCTCTTTTAAAGCGTTCTGTTTTGTGTCTGGAGAGTTTCTCATGAGTAGGCTGGCCGTTTTTCTGGTTTTATAGTAAATCGTCAGTTGTATCCTCTGATTTTTGTCTGTAGGGATAACGTTTCTATTAACAATATCTTTCAGGACCCTTTCCTCCGTTTTATGAGCTGTGGAAAAGAAGTTCCTGTAAAATAGTCTAATAGGGGGTATAGGTGTTGTGTTAGTTGTCTCTTCAGAGGTTGCATGGCTTTTCACTTTCCTTCTTATGATGACTTCGACGAAACCATTAGAGAAGCCGTTATTGACTAGGACCTGCCTACAACACTCCAACGTTAACAACACTCCTCTTGTACCTGTCTGGGCATATGGACATATGCGTTAACAACACTCCTCTTGTACCTGATATATATATATATATATATATATATATATATATATATATATATATATATATATAATATATATATATAAATATATATATAAAATATATATATATATATATATATATATATATATATATATATATATATATATATATATATATATATATATATATATATATATGGCACAACTCTCCTAACACGAGAGTTAAGTATACAACTTTAGAACACTTTCCCCCACCAGAGACTCGAACCCTAGCCAGCACAGAAGCCTTCCAGCAACTGGCATAACAGGTACGCCTTAACCCTCTCCACCACCCGCTCAGACCCTTAAAAGAGATGGTAATTTCGGAGTATCTTTGGGGTATTTAAATACTCCGAAATTACCATCTCTTTTAAGGGTCTGAGTGGGTGGTGGAGAGGGTTAAGGCGTACCTGTTATGCCAGTTGCTGGAAGGCTTCTGTGCTGGCTAGGGTTCGAGTCTCCTGGGTGGGAAACTGAAAAAACTGAAAAATCACACCCCAGAAGTGACTCGAAACCCATACTTTCAGAAGCAACGCAACTGGTATGTACAAGACGCCTTAATCCAGGCGTCTTGTACATAATTCAGTTGCATATTGTCCTGGGGACCATTCAGGCTTGTTCGCATTTGTGTTCCTCACGCGTGCCCCAAAGAATGAGGTGATTTGGTAAAATGCTATGCCCAAGATTACTATCCGAGTGCCGGCGGTGGGGTGGTTCAAATAGCCTCGGCTATCACCTCATTATGTCCGGTCGTGATGGTCAAGTGGATTAAGGCGTCTTGTACATACCAGTTGCGTTGCTTCTGGGAGTATGGGTTCGAGTCACTTCTGGGGTGTGAGTTTTCAGTTGCATATTGTCCTGGGGACCATTCAGGCTTGTTCGCATTTGTGTTCCTCACGCGTGCCCCAAAGAATGAGGTGATTTGGTAAAATGCTATGCCCAAGATTACTATCCGAGTGCCGGCGGTGGGGTGGTTCAAATAGCCTCGGCTATCACCTCATTATGTCCGGCCGTGATGGTCCAGTGGATTAAGGCGTCTTGTACATACCAGTTGCGTTGCTTCTGGGAGTATGGGTTCGAGTCACTTCTGGGGTGTGAGTTTTCAGTTGCATATTGTCCTGGGGACCATTCAGGCTTGTTCGCATATATATATATATATATATATATATATATATATATATATATATATATATATATATATATATATATATATATATATAACCGCACCATGAAGGTTAGCGCGGGCGCAGAGTTTCCAGTCGCAGTTCACAACAAACGAAGCTGTGAAGCTTGTGGTGGGAGGTCTGGCAGCCCGTCCTCCAAACAAAATCCAAAAGTGATTCCATGCACCCGCCAAACCTCAGCTGTTTATGAATGAAAAGCGGTTTACACACGACTCACAACTGATGACGTTCGAACATATCCGGAACAAGTGCTTCACTGACGAATTTTGTTCGAACCACAACGCTGTAAATGCTTCACCCACGTACTACAAATACAAATAATCGCCAACAGAACCTAAACACCTGACCTAACCTATGCCTATATATGCACAATATGCTTATATATTATAATATTAATTTATACTTGAGAAAATTCCCGTTTTGAATGAACAGCATATTAAAATTTATGAATGCGTCTGTGGGGTCGACCGCTGGATGTAATGGACTTGAGTCGAGGACGGGTTGAGGTCTGGAGACTGACTTCCAGCTCGTGACTAGTTGAGTGTCTTACAAACTTCTCATCTCCTTCATTCATCCTCAATTTTCCCTTCTCTCTCTCTCTCTTATATTATTTTTTCTGTTGCTTCTCCTTGCTTCACAGCATCTAATCTCTTACTGCAAAGGTTGTCCCCATGAGGCAAGTTGAGTCCTTTGTCAGTAGAGAGCATTATGATCCTATACCTGGAGAGGATTCTGGGAGTTCTTCTGCCTCCGAAGCCCGGCCTGGGGCCAGGCTCGCCTGGTGATAACTTGATCCAACGGTCTGTTGCTTGGAGCGGCTCGCAGGGCCCCAAATTGAGTGTGAGACGCCCTGGGCGGCCTGCAAGGGGGAAAGTTAGGCGCTCAGACTTCTTGATCAATGTAATAAAACTGTGCTGTGAGTGGTAAATACTTGTCAACAACTTGAGCCAGAGGTGGAAGCTGGCGATGGTGGAAGACGTGCAATAGCTAGACTGGGCTTGGAGAGCTGGTTCTCTCTCTCTCTCTCTCTCTGTTTCTCCATCTGTCTTTTTCTGTAATTCGTTCCAATCTAGCCCTAGCTCCCTGGTCTCTCTCTCTCTCTCCTCCTCTCTCTTCTCTCTCTCTCTCTCTCTCTCTCTCTCTCTCTCTCCACTCTCTCTCTCTCTCTCTCCATCTCTATCCCTCCCTCCCTCCTCTCTCTATCTGTCTCTCTCTCTCTTCTCTCTCTCTCTCTCTCTCTCCTCTCTCTCTCTCTCTCTCTTCTCTCTCTCTCTCTCTCTCTCTTTCCCTCCACATTCCTCCATTAATTGTTTTCTTATATTATTGAGTATTTTAATATTTAACAATAGATAACGTATTTAACGATATCTATTGTTAGATATTAACGACGGTTTTTCAGTAACTACGCTCACAGCGTACATGCAGATGGCAAGGCAATGAGTCCCTCGACCGACGATGGACAGCTTAAGGTGACCTGCTTAATGTCATTCGTGAGCTCTACTTTTACGTTAAGAATTGATGCTGTCTGTCGAGGCTGGCGGTGGGGGGGAAGGGAGTCGTTGTTAATAATTCCACGCGTGAAATTTTAACATGGTGGCCAGAGTGAAGGTTTTTCTGGAGTCTAGGGATACTAATGTGTGTGTGTCTGTGTGTGTACTCACCTAGTTGTGCTTGCAGGGGCTGAGCTCTGGCTCTTTGTTCCCGCGCCTCAACCGTCAATCAAGAGATGTACAGATTCCTGAGCCTATTGGGCTCTATCATATCTACATTTGAAACTGTATATAGAGTCAGCCTCCACCACATTACTTCCTAATGCATCCCATTTGTCAACCACTCTGACACTAAAAAAGTTCTTTCTAATATCTCTGTGGCTCATTTGGGCACTCAGTTTCCACCTGTGTCCCTTAGTGCGTGTTCCCCTTGTGTTAAATAGCCTGTCTTTATCAACCCTGGCAATTCCCTTGAGAATCTTGAATGTGGTGAACATGTCCCCCCTAACTCTTCTGTCTTCTGTCCA